CAATAATACATATTATTAACACATTAATAAAATCAATTTAAGCCCAAAGTTTACAAAGATAAATGGAAGGCGAAAGCAAATGAGGAGAAACTCAGACCACCACAGCTTGGAGATTCGCATTTCCACTGGTTACCGAGAACAAATTTTCTTGGGTTTGGCGAAAATAGATAATTTCTTGGTTTTGGTAGAAAAATGTGATTTTCAGTTTTGGTAGAAAAACATATTTTCTCGGTTATGGCGGAAAAAAGCGAATTCTCGGGTTTGGCGGCAAAATGTGAATTTTTGGTTTGAGTGAAAAACAAAAAATTTGATTTTGATGAGATAATGCGAGGGAAATGCAACTTTTCAATTTTGACGAAAAATACGATTTCTCGGTTTTGATAGAAAATGCAAATTTTTCGGCTTTTGATGGATAATGTAATTTCTTGATTTTTGCGGAAAATTGTAATTTGACAATTTTGGCAGAAAATGCAATTTCTCGGATTGATAGAAAAGCAAAATTTCACGATTTTGGTGGGAATAAACAATTTCTTGGTTTTTATGGGAAATGCAAATTTTCAGTGTTTGACATATAATTTGATTTTTGGTTTTCGAGGGAAAATATGATCTCTTAGTTTTCGTGGGAAACGCAATTTTTCAGGAGATAATGCAATTTTTGATTTTTGCGGAAAATTATTGTTTATCGGTTTTGGTAGGAAGGCGTGATTCTTGATTTGACGAGAAAAATAATTTTTTCTTGTTTTGGTGGGAATAGACGATTTCTCGATTTTTGCGGGAAAATAGTTTTTTGGTTTTGATGGAAAAATACTACTCCCTCTGTTTCAGAAAGAATGTCATTTTGACACTTTTCACACATATTAAGAAACTTAATAAAAAGTCTTTTCTGTCCATCATAAATACATTAAACAGTTTTCTCATTCTAATTAATACACTAAAATAACAAGGTTAGAATTGGATTTTTAATTAAAAATTTGCATTGGAAATACAAAACGACACTTTATGTGGAAAAAAAATAAAACTCTAAAACGACACTCTTTATGAAACAGAGGGAGTATTTTTTTGTTTTTGCAGGAAGATTAAATTTTATGGTTTTGGTGAAAAAACTTGATTTCTCTGTTTTGACGGAAAAACACAGGTTCTCACAGGAAAATGTGATTTTTTTGGTTTTTGAGGGAAAATGCAATTTCTTTGTTTTGGTAGGAAAATGAAATTACAGGTTTGACGAGAAAATAAATTTTTTGGGTTTTGGCGGGAATAGGCGATTTCTCAGTTTCGTGGAAATAATTTTTTTTGTTTTGTCGGAAAATGCAATATCTCGGTTTTTGTAATAAGATAAAATTTCTCTGTGCTAAATTTTCAAGTTGTAATATGTTTATAGTAACCAAAATTGAATTATTTAACTTCAATTAAATTGATATTTCAACAGTTCAAATAGAACTTTCTATTTAGTTCTAAAGTAATAGTAATGATTTTGATATGAATGTTATTGATTATAGTTTGATAGTTTTAGAACATATGTCTATAATAAATATTTGATAAGTAAAAAAATTTTATAATTAAAATAATCATATTAATTAATATTTTTTTTAAATGGCAATTTGTTTTATATAATTTCAAAGGAGGATCAAGTAGTAATTTAGTAGAGAAAATAATTACATCAACCATTAGCTTAAATGTACTTTAAAATGTATTGCTTTATTCTTACATATACATTTATAGATAGTTAGTTAAACAAATTTGATAGTAGATTATAATTTTAAAAAATAAAAAAATTAATGATATATAATGCTTATTCATATTTAAAACATATAAATACATAACTTAAGCTAATAAAAAATAAATATAATACTCATTTAAAATATATAAATAATTTTATTATATTAAAAATATATACAAAATTAGAAAAATATCTCGCAGCGTAGCGCGGGTAAATACCTAGTTTGATCTAAATATGGATATATGTAGACAGAAAATCATTAATTCTGTAAATAGACACACATAAATAGCGAATCCCACACTTAAAAAAAAAATAGCGAATCCCACACCTAAGTTATCAAGTTGATAGGATCTTGTTTTACCCAAATAAAAACTATTGCAAGTGCACAGCAAAGCAGTTGTAGTACAAGGGGTTATCGAATCCCAAGGGAGTAAGTAAACTACACTATCGAGTTCAGGTTCGAATTAAGCTAAGCAGAATGTAATGAATGTAATGCAAAATAGTAAAATAAATGCAAGAGGGCGTTTTTATGCTTGTTCTTAAAGTTCATAAGGCTAAAGGCGCTAAGTCAAGACAGTTCGCAGGTTGAATCCGAGAGTGTAGAATGCATGCAATCAGGAATGAATTAAAACCGTCTTGAACATGAATCGCAAAGATATAACTAATCAATTCTCATTGCAGAAGTTATCTATGTCTAAGTCACAGAGTTTCAAATCTCTTTGCAAACCCTAACAACCTAAACATGCAGTAAAGATCAGGTTTAATTGTTCACAAAACTCCTAAGCCAAATCTCTTTGTACTAAGGCGTTTTGCTCATCTAATACTAGTTCAGGTGATTAATAATGCTCTCACATCTATCAAACAACCTAGGGTTTCGAAATCCAGATGATGTGTCTAAGAAATCGATATGAATGCAAGCACAGATGAAGAACCAATGAATTTCCTATAAGTTTTTAGCAATTCTACAAACTCTTCTTCAACCTTTGAAAAGCTCTAACTTAACTAACAAACTACTCAGACATGGTGATTTGAAAAAACATCATGAAAAGAATAGATTGCATAAAAGAAATAAGAAGTAGAAATAAAGAAGTTCGAAATCTGCTCTGAAGGAGTCTGATTTGTCTCTCCAAAAGCTCTGCTACAAATCTCTCTCTAAAGCTCTCAAAAATAATAAGATACAAGATATCTGCAAAAGAATGGCTGAAAAACCTAATATACAAGCTAAAACACGATCTGGGGACTTTTTGCAAATATTAGAACTTCTGGGCCAAAACTGCAATTTCTTCCCAATCTTTTAAAAACAGGCCACGATCTCTTCCTTTCTGGGTGACGAGCGTCACCATATGTGATACTTTCTGCTTCGAGCTTGGTACTTCGTGGCTTCAACCCAGAATGCTCCAAAAGGTTCCAAAATCTCCAATAATGCTCCAGACATGCTATAACCTGCAAAGACTCTTCTAGGACTCTAAAAAGACCAAAAAGACTCAATAAAAAGGACTTATATCATGGTCAAAAACCATTAAAAACCATGATATATCACAAGTAAATGAGAAAAACACTTGAAACAAATACACACATACTCAGTATCCCGACTTGATCTAATAGCAAACCATGCATGGCCATTCCCTCATGCGTTTCTTCGTCCGCATCCGATTTAGCTTCGGGAACCCAAAAGCAATCCTGGCCATTCAAGGCTTTCCGGTTTGTTGACGTGTTGTGTCAGAAGTCACTAAGATAACATCGAAACCTCGCGCACTCAAATATCCAAAGCATACGGAAGAAAAGCGTGTCGTCTCCCACTTGATCCGAGACTACGATCACATGATTCACATCTGCTCGATCTCGATGGTCCCGAGGAGAGTCCATCTCCCACAACAGTGTCATTTAACATTCTTTCAAGCCTCGACACTTGATCCCCTCCTCCGGGAAGAAGGTAGATTCGCGTCTTGTCACCACCACTCCAAGACGACCCTTCATTCTCATCAACATAAGCCCAAATTGCCATCTCATCTCTACATCCCCTTTCACCAAGAGCTGATACGACTATGCGATAGATCTCATCGGGATCGGAACAAAGAGGGAACGGGCAATCCACTAAGTCCAAGAACATGACTATCTTATTGTTGAACCAGAAAATCACCACTAGGGTTTTGATTTTCGGTTGTGGGTTTTAGAGAATATCAAATTGGAGCTCGGAGATTAGGTCATCGAAAAGATGAACTATTTGAAGTTTTTATCAAGCTATAGCTGGACTTTAAGAAAGGCTGCCTACGTATCCTTGCAAAGAGATCAAGCCATTCGTAGTTCGGTTGCGAAGTAGAGAGAATAAAGTCTTCTCTCTAGATTATAGATTTTTTGGTGGTTGTTTTAGATCGGGTTTTCATCCCGGTTTCTGATGATCTTCAACTTATGAAGAGCTCTTTATTTATAAGAAGACGAGGTCGGTTCCTTTGACCTCGTTTCCCTTTTTGATTTATGAATATTTCTCTTTTTCCGTTTAAGAAAAGTTCTCCTTTTCCTTATTCTTCGGAAGTTTTTTATTATCTTTAAAAACGGAGTGATTATCCTAGTTTTGATGGACTTAACTTATTACTAGAGAAAACCTTTAAGAAAATATGTTCATTTCCCTTCTAACACTTATTATCCCTTTTCACTGGCTCGGTGAATCTTCCATCTTGGAGCTACCATTATCAGAATCAGAATCAGAAATTGATTTGTTCCCACCAAAAACTTGTACAGTTTCTTTTGCGTCGTCATCAACAAAGAGAAGAGTGTGTTCTCTCGATTGCAAACACTGAAGAACCCTGTGCAATCCTGGGCTTTCTTTTGCGATCACCGCAAAAACTCTTGGTGCAGGAGCCGTCGCTGCTGCGCAACGAAGAAAATCCAGAGGCGTTTCCGATCGAATCGTCACCCTTTGAAAGTAAGTGGATGATTCCGTCCGGCTTTCTCCAATAGGCTTTTGTACAGTGGGTCACCATACGCCCGGATTACCTTAGGGCCATGATAGCCCATTATATCAAGAAAAATAAATAAAATTATTTTGCATCTCCAACCAAAGGAAATATCTAAACGGAAAACGCAATTTCCTTTTTTTCTTTTTTTTTTTACTGTGCCTATTTCTTAAAAACAAAGTCGGTGTAGAAAAAGCAACCAAACCTATAAATATAACCAAAACCCTAAAATCTAACAAAATCTCTCACAACTTCTTCTTATCTTCTTCAAAATCAATCCCACTTCAATTTTCCCGGAGACTTCTTGAATTTCTCTCAGAACAGCAACAATGGGGGCATCTTTCTCGAGGACTAACAAACAGAGAGTGATAGCAACAAGGTCGCAGCTTGACGAAGAAATCAATCTCTTTCTCAGCGAAACTCGTCCATCTCCGTCTACGAATCCTATCGACCAACAATATAATCAACTAATCTCGACTTTCCTCGAGATCGCTGTCGATCAGACGGTCGAAACGGCAAGAAGTTTCTTAGAGACAACAAACTGGAACATCGGGGAAGCCATCAATCTCTTTCTCGTTGGAAACAACTATGATCCTTCGATGCATCGTCGTTCTGATGAACAGGAATCAGATTCGACGGTTCCTCAACATCTTCTTCTTTTCGAGGGCTCGTTCGAAGACGCGAAATCAGTTTCTTCCCAAGATAATCTATGGCTGCTGGTGAATCTACAATCCAGAACAGGGTCTGCTTCTCAAACGCTTGACCAAGATGTATGGTTAAACGACGCCGTTGCGCAGACCGTTGAGTCGGCAAGACTATGATCATACAATCGACGGTCAGAAAATCTCTGCTTTCTACAAGATCGACTCTGCTCCTCCCGTAGTGCTTTTAATCGATCCCATCACTGGTCAGAAGATGCGTATGTGGAGCGGCGAGATTGAAGCTCAGGGTTTTGTCGAGGATCTGATGCAGTTTTCGGAGGCTGGTCCTCATGAACACGTTGCTTCTCTGATAAGGAACAGATCCCCTGAGACGAATGAGGGATTACAGATTGGTACAACGTATGAAATCCCGGCTCCTTCTTGGGGTGAAGAGTTTGAAAAGGAGGATACTTGTTCGTCAAGCGACAGCATCGATCATCAGACTGTGTCTCCTTCTTGTGGTGAAGAGTTTGAAAACGAGGAGACTTTGTCCTCAAGCAACAACTATGATCACATGGTGGCTCCTTCTTGGGGGCCCGAATTTGAAGAGTCTGCAGAAGTGAAAGAGGAGGAGGAGACTTGTTTAGAGTTTCCAGATTTGACAGAAGAGCCTAAGGGAGACTGCGATCGAAGCCTTGTGTGCAGTCTCTGCGTTAGGTTTCCAGATGGGAGAAGAAAGCAGAGGAAGTTTCTCAATACGGAACCAATTCAGCTTCTTTGGTCGTTCTGTTACTTTCAGATGGAGACATCCGAGAAGAAGGCGTTTAAGCTGGTACAAGCGATTCCTGGTGCTTCCAAGACTCTAGGTTATGAAGCTAACACAACTTTTGATCAATCTGGGCTCGCTAATTCGATGATCTCGGTTACTTGGGAATGAAGATTTCAAGAAAGCAAGTAGATTTAAAGTTTAGATCGGACGTGTTGCCTTGTTTTCTTGTTCTCTTGGTGTAATTCAATGTGAAGAAACAATTACCTTTTCTAGTACAATTCTACTTTATTCATTTTGTGGGTCAATCATGTTTATATATACAAATTATTCAAAAAAACAGCAACATCCTGTCTTATGTTCTGTATCAGCAACATTTAGTTTTTGGTAACTCTTACGTTTAACTTGAGCTTCTCTAAAATACTAACAAAACGTTCCAGAATCATATTGTTCAATCCAAATTGTAACATCATCATGGTAATTGGACTGTCTAAAAAAAATTAAAATAGCAACCAAACTTATATATTAATGAACATAAATTTGGTTAAGATCTCTGTCGAATCACAGAAAGTCATATACTACTACTAGTATATTATCATTCACGTTTCTATCGAAAAGAACGATCTGCATCATCTGAGAAATACAATTTCTTTTGGAGAAAATCTTAGAAATACAATTGACATTGACAACCTAAACAACACTCTTTCTTGAAAATCTATTTGTTTAATAATAGAATTGGTCATATTATTCTTTGGATATTTTTCAATTAGAGACTGGAATTAGTCGTGTTCAGGTGAAAAAAAACTCAACAGTCTTTATTACAAACATGATGTTCGTTCATTCGTTCAAGCAAAACGAACCAATAAGATAATAAAATATACATTTTTGTTGCTTCTAAAGATTGTTCTATGAGATCCTATACAATCTCTCTATGAACACGCTACGATCTTACGTTACGTTTGCAAGGGTGGGGAGCTTCACGACGATAAAGAGAGTAAAGGGGACTTTTTGACAAAAAGGATTAAATTCAGGATCTAAACTCAAATTTCTTAACTTTTTTTTTGCCGTTTGTCCAACAAATTGGACTGAACTGAATCAGATAAGTTGGCGAGATGAGATCCAACGAATTATAAAATTTATCAAAAAAAGTGGCAGTCACAAAAAAAGAAGAAGATATAGGCCGTGTCTTGCACAGAATCACACATACAGAGAGATTCAAGGTTCGAATCAATCATCAGAATCTGTCATTTTTTTCTTGCTTCTTTATCTCTCATTTCGAGGATCTGAAGAAGAAAGATGCATCTGATTAATGCGGTGGCGGCGGCGAGAATATTGTCTGGATTCGGACAATCTAACGGCACCACCGGAGGCGATGCGATTCCGTTTGGATCGCCGTGGTGGGTAATCTACGCCTGCGTGTCTTGTTTCCTCGTTCTCTTCGCCGGAATTATGTCTGGTCTCACTTTGGGGCTTATGTCTCTCGGTCTCGTCGAGCTCGAGATTCTCCAACGCAGTGGCACTCCTAACGAGAAGAAACAAGCAGGTAACTTCTTCTTTATTCTTTCTTTTTGTTTTCTTCATTGTGAATTCGTGTGTTCTTACTGATCTGATCGTGGTTCTGTTTGAATTCCGTACAATTGTTTGTTTGTCGGAATGAATTGATTCCCTCAGCTGCGATCTTCCCGGTTGTTCAGAAACAGCATCAGCTTTTAGTGACACTGCTTCTGTGCAATGCTGTTGCAATGGAGGTAATCTCAATCTCATATTCAATAAAGTCTCTTCCTTTTTGATTTCAAAAACTTAGTGACTTATCAAGATGATGAAACCGGCTCTCTCGAGGACTTATATAGATAGTTTTACATGAGTGAGATCTAAAGTTTCTTGATTTATTGATATTTGCAGGGACTTCCTATATACTTGGATAAGCTATTCAATGAATACGTTGCCATTATTCTTTCCGTCACTTTCGTTCTTGCTTTCGGTGAGGTATGTGTTTTTTTGCAGTGGTCTCTAGTTTTGCAAATCCAAGTTTCATATGGTTCATCAAGGCTTGTTACTGATTTGAACATTTTGTGTGTTTAAGGTTATTCCTCAAGCGATATGCACAAGGTATGGTCTCGCCGTTGGAGCCAATTTTGTCTGGCTTGTACGCATTTTGATGATTCTCTGCTACCCTATTGCCTTTCCTATCGGCAAGGTAAATCATTGTTTCGAACATCGCCTTTAAGGTTGCTTCAGTAACAAGTAGTTTAACTCCTGTCCTTTTGATTCTTAACTCCTGTCCTTTTGATTCTATTTGCTTTGTAATAGTGCTTTTCTTGATTGCTGAATCTGTCATCATCTGGTTATTCTTGTTTCTGTACAATGAGTTATACAAGCTTCTAATCTTGTCACTTTATGTTCTTTGGTTTAACCTCTTCGATGCTTTTGGATAGATCTTGGATTTGGTATTGGGACACAATGACGCTTTGTTTAGACGAGCTCAGTTGAAAGCTCTTGTATCAATTCACAGCCAAGAGGTATTAGCAAAACTATGGAGATGATGACTACTTTGGAGTTTCGTGTTTACTAATTTGGTTTCTTTGTTGCTACGGGCTATGGTTATAGGCTGGCAAGGGAGGTGAACTTACGCATGATGAGACAACAATCATTAGTGGAGCACTTGATTTGACAGAGAAGGTATGCATGAAGATTAAATTTTGGACTTTCTTGAATCCCTGAATCATGGATTCATCTGTATAAGTGGTTTTTTGGTTTTGACAGACTGCACAAGAAGCAATGACACCAATTGAATCAACTTTCTCCTTGGATGTAAATTCAAAGTTGGATTGGTGAGTTTGGTTCTCAACTTTCATTCTCTTGAACTAAATATTTCACATGTTGTCTCAATGCCTTCTCTTAATGATTCTCACAGGGAAGCTATGGGCAAGATTCTAGCACGTGGTCACAGCCGTGTTCCTGTCTACTCCGGGAATCCGAAAAACGTTATCGGACTTCTCTTGGTAATGTCACTTGACTCTTATTGTGAATGTTTTCAGTTCTTGCTTATTGTCAAACTCTAAATCAAGAAACTGTTCTGTTTTGATAGGTGAAGAGTCTACTCACAGTTCGACCTGAAACAGAAACCCTTGTAAGCGCGGTTTGTATCCGCAGGATCCCAAGGTTTTTCGCCATTTTTTTCCATTTCATGTTTACCCGCGAGCATCTGAAACTTCGTATACGTGATCGGTGTTATAATGTTTGTTTGAAATAGGGTTCCTGCTGATATGCCTCTGTATGATATACTGAACGAGTTTCAAAAAGGAAGCAGTCACATGGCTGCAGTTGTGAAGGTTAAAGGGAAAAACAAAGCTCCTCCTTCGACTCTGCTCGAAGAAGACACTTACGAGAAGGACTCAGATTTGACCGCTCCTCTGTTACTAAAACGAGAAGGGAACCACGACAATGTCATTGTACACATCGACAAAGCGAACAGACAATCGTTGTTTCAAGGCAACGAGGGTGTACCACACGGTTTCTCGCATACTTCAGAGGATATCGAGGATGGGGAAGTAATAGGTATTATTACTTTGGAAGATGTGTTTGAAGAGCTTTTGCAAGAAGAGATTGTGGACGAAACTGATGAATATGTTGACGTACATAAAAGGTTCGGTTAATACTACTACTCTATGGCATAATATTAACATATGTAACGAATGTTTCAGCCGCTGAAAAATCTTTACTTTTTTTGTAGGATTCGAGTAGCAGCAGCAGCGGCTGCTTCATCGATAGCGAGAGCTCCTTCAAGCAGGAGGTTAATTGCACAAAAGGGAACTGTGAGTTAAAAAGTTTAAACACTCTTGTAAAACACTAATAGTTTGTTCTTGTGTTGGAGAGAAAGTTGAATTTTTTTGTAATTTTTCTTTAGCAGGGAGGACAAAATAAGCAAACGCAGACGATAAAAGGTTCTGGTCAGGAACAAGATAAACTGCTTGGGACTATTACGGAACCAAACCGAGGAAACAGATGATTGTAAAATCGATCTTGTGTTCTTGCTTGAGGAGCCAAAAAAATTTCTGTTGTGGTATATGAAAGGAACAAAGAATAAACTTGAAGATCGGTTTGGTAACTTATAATTTATCCATCATATATATATACATACATAGGTTCATACTTCACGTATATGTCTGCAATTGCAAATGGTTCTTCCCAATTTTTGATGATGTTCTGTACAATTTTGTAACTTACTCAGTAACTTAATTCTTTTTTTTGTTTGTTTCCATAGTAGAAGAGGGGTACCTCATATGAAACTTCAAAAACTCCCAATTAAAAAAGAGAACATATGCTTTAAAAGGGGGTTATTGGTAAATGGATTTTTAATGATTATTAAAATTTTAGGATTCTATTATTATTGGTAGATGGATGGATTATAACATTCTTATTAAAATTAGTATAAAGATTTCTAAATTCTATACAAAATGCATTGTTGTTCAGAAAAATTTATTTTTAATGATTCTATCAATTTATTAAAATCTTTATTATTGGAACAAAGATTGTTAACAATTTAACTCATAGAATAAAGCTTTCAAAATACCAGCTATATACTTTAGATTTTTAAAATAATTATAATAAAAGATTTTGATAGAATTCCTAAATACACATAATTTTCTTTAAATCTAACAAACTATTTACAAATTTAACAAATCTCTCAATTTTTAAAATCATCACAACTCTACATAAATCAATTTTTAAAATCATCACAACTCTACATAAATCCTACTCCCACTAACACCTTCTAAATATGACTCTGAAGTTTGTAGGAATGGAACAAGTTGTTGAAGAAGATAGAAGGATTATAAGTTGTGGAAGACAATGGAATGATTTTTACTGCCTTTAATTTTTTCAAATTTTGCCCCTAATTTTGCTCTTTTGATATATAATGGTTAAATGTATCAAATTATAAATAATTTTGATTATAAAGATCATCATACAATTATAAAAAAACGAAATTAGTGATGATATTTTTAAAAATTACCAACCACTAAAAGAACAAATAGAAGATAACAAATCAAACTTGTGCTTTAAACTGACCCATTCGGTCTTATACACACAACTCTAGTATTCAATTAGACAGTTACAGATTAAATTTATCAGAAAATTGAAATATAAAATATGAAAATTTGACCGAAAAGAAGGTATTTTCCAAACATGTGGAGCATGAACCTTGTTACGCAAATTCTGAGTGTAAAAAGATTTATCTAATTGTCAATTATTAAATAATGTTTTAATTTCAAACAAAATAAAATATTTTATAATTTTGAAATTTTATTTCATTAAAGACATAATTTTCTAATTTAAACCAAGTCAAAGTATCTTATCACATAAAAAATAGTTTAAAATTTGTATATATCAAACTAGGTGTGCTATCCGCGTAAAAACACAGGCCAAAATATCTACTAATAAATTAATTGTTTAAGTTTTATTGTCTCAAAGAAATTAATGAACGTAAACAACCAAACTATACTTGAAACATGTTATCACAAGAATATTCATAACGTTTGGAGTATAATATTTGGAGTATGCGAGATTTATTGAAAGGATAATGTGCGGATAAAAGCTGTTGTAGACATTGATTTCGTATCATCATAAACTTCAGTTTGTTTTATCTAACAATCGCAAATAAGCCAAATAAATGATAATAAAATTCAATAAAACATAACATGTACATAACTTTTCTAACTGTATCCCAAATTTTATAGATAAACTACCTAAACACATAAAATCAAAACAATCCAAATTAAACAGAAATGCTAGATATTCTAAAACATTTCTATACAATGTTCATTGTTAGTTTTTTGGTTTCCCTTTCTCACATTAATCCTTGTATGTTCTGTACTCACACACAATACACAAATCAGTTTAGTGTTTTGGTCAATTGGGTTTCCAACATTCTTGGTTTAAGTGCCGTACATGAACCCACTCGAACTAACTTGCAGACACTCCTCCTAAATTTACATATATACATGGAAGATCGCAACACCTTTCTTGAACTTACACTATCAGATGGAATCCCTATCAGATAGAGTAATATATGCATTAGAACTAATTTAACTCTAATTATGGCTATTCAAAATATGATCCTATTATATTCTCTCCACCTAGAAGAAAGAAGAACAAAAAATTCAAATATTTATGGCTGCTCCTAAGATTAAGTGTAAGTTATCATCAATGCTCAAATATTTATGTATATCCGTTATTACAGTCTTAGCCTTGTGCTTTCTCATGATATGTGTGCCTATATAAACATGTCGATCCTCCAACAAAAACTTGCCAAATGATCTCTATGAGATAGGAGTCGATAATGATCTTTTGAGATTAGAAACAACTCTGTTTATTCTTGAATCTTCTTCCTTATCTTCATAACCTTTTTTTTTTGCAAGTTCTCTACATCTGATAGAGTAGGTCACCAATGGCTACCGCTACTACATTTGATAAAAAAAAAAAAAAATTCATCTCAAGGTCCAATCAGTTTCTAAAACATAATCAATCTTTCTACAAAAAGACCAAGACTTCTTTTTGTATATCTATTCATAAACTCAATCAGAAAGTCTGGTGCATTGCAACTCAACCTCACTTGAGGCGTATGATCTCATTGATTCAATCCTCTGAAAAATATTTAGGGGTTAAGAAACACATCAGTGATCCAAATTCCCGATGGACTTTTCTAAGAGCTCTTCCCCTCTTTCACTTCCTCAAAAAATTCTTCTAGGCTTCTTCCTCAACTTCCTACCATGGTCGTCCCCAACGAAGTAGTTAACGGATTTTCATAATCATAGAAAAGAACATTACGTGATTATATACTCTGAAGCAAGGGAAAGTCTCCCAGAGTTCCGATGTTGAGATGTGCTTGTCAAAAATGGTGTGCATCAACGTTGTCATCTAGGAATAAAACCAACGGCAGAAGAAAAAGTCTCTCAGACAAAAAGGGCAATGTTGGTGAAGCCTATTGATAGAACAATGATCTTTTAGTACATTTTCAAGATACATATTACCGATAGCTAAAATCTTAATCAAGTAGATTTACACCGACGAATCAATCTAAATTTACTTCTTATGATTCAAAAAAAGAAATTACATATGTTTATAGGTAAACGAACAATAAATTATATGAGAGAACACAATTTTCAAAGTAGATAGCTAACCATAAACCGGGGAGAACAAATTAAAGAGACACGAAAGAAAGGAAAACTAAGAAATAAATATACGACGACAGCAACAAATTTTTATAAAAAGATCGTATAACACAAACAAACAAAACATAACAAACCGTATGAACCAATCCAAAACAAAGCGTTAAAAACAGAACAACCTATATATTAGATTACACTATTAAAAGTTCACAAGACCTGTTTCTTTTTTTTGTTCTCTCTCTTTTTTTTCCTAGAGAATACAATGGTGTGCTTCCTCTTCTTCTTTCCTGAAATTTATTTTTCTTTTTGGCCGCTTTCATGACCTGCATATTGCAATCACATTCAAATGGCGCACACCTGTGTTGTTGTTGTTGTCCTCCTTAGATTTGGTGAGTTTAGCTTGTATGCATCTGTCCAATCTTGGAGACCCCAATGGAATCACATTAAAGCAACTCTTTAAGTCTCAAAGATCACCTGTTAATATAAAACCACACAACACAGCAAGAGTGAATACTTAGTTACAAAATATTTTAGTAGAAATTTGAATATTTTTCGAAGTATGAGAAAAAAAACAGAAAGCGAACTTAAATGTAAAAAAAGATAATTAAGAATTGACACTTTGAATTAGTTTTAAGGATCTCTATTGATGACCTATAATCAGAACGATAAATCATCATACATCAATGCAAAACTGGAAAAAGCAACAAAAAGAGCATGAACCAAAATGCCAAGGAAAAATAAATCAAATGTAAGAATAGATAACAGAAAAAACTACCTCGTAGTTAAGCCAAGCCAACAGTTCTTCTGTTCTTTTGCTTTATTCTAAATTTTCGCATATTTATTTCGACATGCTTTGCACCAATTAATATACTATTCTATCAGTCAATCCGAAAACAATCCATATCGGCCCTGGAAAAAGAAAAATAAAAATAAAGTAAAAGAATTCTTGCACTTTGGAACTGAGTAAGGAAGTCCTCAAGAGAATTAACGCTGAAACAGAGCAAAGGCACTGTAAGAAGATGAATACCGGACTTTCAGATGTAGAGAAGCTTTTATAGAACTGAAGCTAAATCTTAACCAAGTGAGACTGTTTGTTGATACACTTGTCATCCAGGAAAACCATCCATATCTCATTGGGATATCCCAAACAAAATCTCCATAATCAAACTAAAACTCTTTTAATTTATTAAACCAAAACTCTTTTAATTCCCTGCTCCTCAAGGCACCTCTTTTAGGCCTCGAAAATCACAAAACTGCACAACATGGCAATATAGAATGGCTAGTTACACAAATCCTAAACTCGAAATATCCAATAACAGTGAATCTCGCCCACGAAGAATCTCGCCTACGCAGAATCTTACCACTGAAAATCACCAATAGACAAATATGATATTTTGGCCAATTATAAACTCCACCAAATAATGAAGTAGAACCCGTTACAAACAACAAACGAAGCCGAGCCTCATAAGCAAATCAATACTCAAATAGAAATCTACAGAGTGAATCAATAAGCAGATCGTGATCAAATATTGGGTATCACAAAACCGAAGCTCACAATTAAATCAAAACTCCAACATGTATAGACCTAAATAGTGGAACATTGAACAGATGGTGAGAATGAACTGATCATAAACAAAAACTAAGAAAACAACTATTCTGCTTCGTGATGGCTCCTATAGAAAATGTGTTGGCTAAGCTGAAGAATGTGGCCGATTTTGTATATCATCTAGGGTTTAATATTAAATTATGTAATATATATATGAAGAAATTACAGTTTTAATTGTCATTAGGGGTTTGCTGCAAAAAGTAATTAGGTTTAGTCTAGGAAAATTATTAATAAAAAACTCATTCAATAAAAAACTAATGATTATAATTAAATTAATTCTGTATCCGATCATACAGTTTAATTTAATCAATATTACACAATTTAATTCAATAAATAATTTTATTAAGGATAAATTAGAACTTTTCACATGAGAATCAAAAGGTAATCAACCATCATAACAACCACAGTCCAACTTGCTTACCAATTAATAATATGATTAAATAAGAAACATTACATTTTCCCTAATATTCTCTATCAAAAATGTTACTTTTAACATATTTTTAACCTTTTCAGTTTTATCTCCCAATTAGCCCAGTATTAATTGTTTTAAAAATATAATTATCATCTTTGAAGATAATTATAAAAATATATAAATTTTATATGTAAATAAAGTTGTCATTGTTATCACAAGAAAAAAAAATCTATTTCATATAATAAAATCATTAAATATATATTTTAATATTACTTTTTAGCAAATATATTGTAGTATTTGAAACAATGTTGTTTTCAAAAAGTTATCTCTTAAATTTTCTTTACGATAATCTTAGAATATTTTTACAACCTTACTCTGGAATTGAAACTGCAAGAAATATTAGGGACCAATGAGAGAAAACAAATTTTGCTGTTTATTAACCTGGAAAATTCAAAATTGTACTACTGAACCGAACCGTTTAGGTCGACGACGAGATAAAAACAACAAAAAAGAGAGGAAAATATCTTCTCAAACAAAACCATATCAAAAAAAAAAAAAAAGCGTAGGAAGTTGCAGACCGAGAGAGACAGACGAAGAAGAAGATTTTCAAAGGTTTGAGAAGATGCATCCGATCATTGCGATGTTGGCGGCGAGAATGTTGACCGCCGTCGGAAAATCTAACGGCTTAGAAAGCGAGACGATTCCGTTCGGATCGTTATGGTGGAGTATCTACGCCGGCGTCTCTTGTTTCCTCGTCCTCTTCGCCGGAATCATGTCCGGTCTCACTTTAGGTCTCATGTCTCTCGGTATCGTCGATCTCGAAATCCTCCAACGCAGTGGCACTCCAAGGGAGAAGAAACAAGCAGGTGAATCTTCTTCTTCTTTCTTCCTTCTATTTGTGGGATTTTTCGACCCCAATCAATCAATTGAATCCGGATTTTGCTTAAATTCTTTGAATTCACTGTTTGAATTCTTTGATTTCAGCTGCGATTTTTCCGGTTGTTCAGAAACAGCATCAGCTTCTAGTCACATTGCTTCTCTTCAATGCTCTTGCAATGGAGGTAAGCTCTCGTATTCAATGTCAAAACTTTTATCGCTCTTCATGATGATGAACCTTTACTTGTTGAAAATTCGTAGGGCCTTCCTATTTACTTGGATAAGATATTCAATGAGTATGTTGCTATCATTCTCTCTGTTACTTTCGTCCTATTTGTTGGCGAGGTATGTTTATTTTTCTTCCTTGTACATGTTCTAACTTTATAAGGTCTTTGAAGGGTTTCACTGATTTTGAAACACTGTGTTTTTCAGGTGATTCCTCAAGCTATATGCTCAAGGTATGGACTTGCAGTGGGAGCTAACTTGATCTGGCTCGTCCGCATCTTGATGACTCTCTCGTACCCGATATCTTTTCCTGTTGCAAAGATGTTGGATTGTGTGTTGGGACACGGTGACCCTTTGTTTAGGCGGGCTCAGTTAAAGGCTCTTGTGTCAATTCACGGCGAAGCGGCTGGCAAAGGAGGTGAGCTTACACATGATGAGACCACAATCATTAGTGGAGCACTTGATTTGACTGAGAAGACTGCTCGAGAAGCCATGACACCAATTGAATCAATCTTTTCCTTGGATGTAAATTCAAAGCTGGACTGGTGAGTTTTAGAATTAAAACTCTGTCTCTTTCACCGTTTTGTTGTAACTATTTCCAAGAGAGCAGTATTTGACTCTGTGTCTTGCACTGCTTTGCTTGTGATTAATCTCTTAGGGAAGCTATGGATAAGATTCAAACACGAGGACACAGCCGTGTTCCTGTCTACTCCGACAATCCAAAGAATGTTATCGGACTTATCTTGGTGAGTGTTGCTGACCCTCTTTCTCGTTGGTGTGATATTGCATGTTTCAATGGTGGCTTATTATGTTTATGGAAACTCTAATTTAAGAAATCTTCTGTATGTTAGGTGAAGAGTCTACTTACAGTTCGCCCCGAAACAGATACACTTGTCAGCACAGTTGGTATACGCCGGATTCCAAGGTATTTCGGTTAATATTACTTTGGCTACTCTCTTTCACTGCGTGTCTCTGTGTAGAACGAAATTTTTAACTGTGATAAATAATGAAACAGGGTTCCTGCTGATATGCCTTTGTATGATATACTGAATGAGTTTCAAAAAGGGAGCAGTCACATGGCTGCAGTTGTGAATGTTAAGGGAAAAATCAAAGGCTCTCTCTCAGCTTTGCTTGAAGAAAACACTTTGGAAAGCAATTCCCCAAGGAATGACTCCTTAACTGCACCTCTGTTGCTGAAGCGAGAAGGAGACCAGGACAATGTCATTGTCGATATTGACAAGATTAGCAGACAGTCTGATTTACCAAACAACGAGACAGGGAGACACGGGTTCTTGCATACTTCAGAGGAGATTGAGGTCGGAGAAGTGATAGGCATCATCACGTTGGAAGATGTGTTTGAAGAGCTTTTGCAAGAAGAGATTGTGGATGAAACTGATGAGTATGTAGACGTGCATAAAAGGATTCGAGTGGCTACTGTAGCTGCAGTGGCGATTTCGTCATTAGCTAGAGCTCCTTCGGGCCGGAGATTACTTGCCCAAAAGGGAATTGTAAGTAAACACTCTCTCTTGCAAATCAATGGTTTAAGTTGAAGGATCTTGTAGAGATAAGAACCGGTTTGTGGTTTTATTTTTTGCAGGGAGGACCAAAAACGCCGAAGGCATCTTCTACTACTACTACTCCCAAACCGGATAAACCTATGACCGGTTCTCTTCAGGGGAACAACTAATGGTTTCAGGTGTTCAGTTTTTTGCTTGAGATGTGAGAAATAAGGAATTTAGATCAATTCTTGAGCACATTCTAGTAACTACATGTGTATAATACAATACATGTAGGTCTAAGTTAATAGTCTACGAACAAACCGGTTTTTTTTTTTTTGTACTCTAGATCTATTCATTTGTATATTTTCCTTTTTTTTTTCCTTTTCATTCTATCATTACAAAGCCAGTGTTTACATATAAGGTGACTACCAAACAGTCGATGGTTAGAGCTAGGATACTTTTGTACGTGTTGGGTCATTATTCTTTACATACAAAACTTCAACTTGTTTTAGAAATCTTTGTAAAATTTGAATGTGGATCGTGTCATCATTAGAGAAACTTTCATAATAACAATGTTCAACATTGTATTGGAGCTTTAGTAGTTTTACCTTAAAAATATTTTCAAGTTTGTTACATCCAATTGTTTTATCAAAGAGAAATGAATACTAATAGCACATATCTTGAGATTTGGGCTGGACCGGCTGGTCAGAATAAAAAACCTGCATTCCAGCCAGTTATCTGATCCCAACATATAACAAATCAATTTATCAAATTTCGATATATATACAAAAAGTTTAATCAAATATTAACATAAATACATAAAATTTTGAATTCAAAAGTTATAATTGAAAAGTTAAAGAATAAAAGTATTTTTTTATTTTGTTTTAATTAATCTATTTTTCTTAGAAATTAGTATGCTTCTGATTAACAAATTAGTATTTTCTCATAACAAATCAATTTATCAGATTTCGATACATATAAAAAAATTTAATCAAATATTAACATAAATATAGAAATTTTTTGATTCAAAAAATAATAAAAATTTAAAGAATAAAAGTATTTTTTCGTTTTATTTTGTTTCAATTAATCTATTTTTCTTAGAAATTAGTATGCTTCTGATTAAAAAATTAATATTTTCTTGTTTTATTTTGTTTTTATTTTTTGTAACTAATCAATTTTAATAAAAATAAAATAAAAATCTTTAATATTTTATTATATAAATTGTAGATATTTTTTTTTATATCTATTTGTAGGATTTTACAAAACAAAACAATGATAATGAAGAGAAGACATAAAGTGAATAGTCACATAAAATCACCATCTTTTGTACGGCTTTGTCACAGTGTAAGCTTCACCGGATATATCAATATCTCTTTCGATTTAATGGTGAAAATATTAGAAAAAAACTCCCAACAAAATCTCTAATAAGGTTCCGATTGTCTCGAAGCTATGTTCATCAATAATCAACATGAGAAGAGACTTCATATAATCAATTGTGACTCGGTCTTCGACTCAACTTCCTTGTGATATAGTAATTGGCGATCAAGGGTGGATACACGTGGAGGGTGAAGATTGCCAAAGAATGATCATTTGGTAAATCTATCATTTTCGTTGTTGTGGATCATTTGACGAAAACTGCTCACTTCTTGGCCTTAAGTCATCTGTAAACAGCTGCTTATATGGCTTAAGTATTTCTTGATTATGTTTTCAAACTATATAGCTTCCTGAGATCAATAGTAAGTGACAGAGATGCAGCCTTTTTAGTAAATTTTGGCGAGAATTGTTTACTTTAGTTTCACTCAATTACTCAAGTGCGTATCATCCATAAAGTGATGGTCAAACCGAAATTGTGAATAGATGCTTGGAAACATACCTGAGATGCATGTGTAGTGATCACCCCCATTTATGGTGTAAATGGTTGTCTCTTGCTGAGTTTTGGTACAACACAAGTTTTCATTCTGCAGCTCAAATTACTCAATATGAAGCCATTTATGGTCAACACTCTCCTCAACATCTCCCTTAGTTGCATGGCGTAAGGTATTTATAATTGCAAAGATTTTACAAGAATTGGAGAATATGTTGTTGATCTTAAAATTTCACTTGTTAAGAGTTCAAAACAGAATGGAGTAGGTGGCTAATCGTAGATGCTCTGAAAGAAGTTTTTAAATTGGAGATTACGTTTATGTGAAGTTTCAACCATATTGCCAAGGTTCGATGGTACTCCGCTTGAATCATAAATGAACACCTAAGTACTATGGTCTTTACAAGGTACTCGATTTCTTTGGAAAGGTGGCCGATAAATTGGATACCTGCTTCGAGTCGAATCCATCCGGCTTTTTATGTTTCTCAACTGAAACTCAAAGTTGAAGAACCTTCGATTAGCATATTGTTATTTTCTATTATTTACGATGTTTTGAGTAAAGAACCAAAATGTATTTTGGAATGTCATATGGTTAACATACAAGGAAGATCAGCCACAAAATACTTGTGAAGTGGTCTAATGAAGAAACTAATAAGACTATTTGGGAATTCCAGTATGACTTGTTAACATTTCAATCATGAGGACTTGGTTGCTTGAAAAGAGAAGATTTAATATAATAACTATAAATTAAGGAGTGAATATACATAGTAGGTGAAAACATATGTAACCTAACTTTTGGGTCTCGTCACTTTTACTCGAGTTTTGATGATAGATTTAAGAAAAAGATTAAATACTTCACGACCCTATGATAACTTTGAATCTTATCAATGTTCATGACGAGCCTGATGTAATCGTGTGAAATATCTGTCTTCTTATTTCTTATCATTGCCAATCCTACTATTACAGAAACATACACTAGTCAGATTCTATCTACATATTTTCATTTTCTAATAGTTTTAATGGTGATGATGCAAATAATTTATTTTGTAAGCAGGTTACTCCAAATTTTTTCATCATATTCGATGTTGCATCACTAATATCATATTCATCTAATAACGATTATAAAATCTATTATATAAAAGATGGCCAACTCTCTCCAGTTGAGTGCTACATCAGCACTGGAAAGAGTGATATCTGTCATTTTTAAATTTTGTAATTAATAATTATTATTATGATATAATTAAAGTTAGACTAATTAATTATTTATTTTTTAATTGTATACTAACTAAAAACATATTTATTGTGGTTTTTATATGTTTAATAAATATAAATTTTAATTTATTGTTAATGTAATAAAAATCTCACAAAAATAATTAGAATAAAAGTAAATTAAATTGGGAATTGCCATGAACAAATACGACCTGCTAAAAAGGATCGTTTCTACATATATTGTGCTTGAAGAGTTTCTGTTGTTATATACAGTAAAACCTCTATAAATATAATATTGAGACCTTAAAGTTTTATAAAATTTTATTAATTATAATGATTATTAATTTATAAGTATATTATTTGGTTGAAAAACTAACTTTGGGACTAACAAAAAATATTAATTTATCGAGATATTAATGAATCGAGTATTAATTTATAGAGGTTTTACTGTAGTACTTCTCTAATTTGCAGTATATGCATTTAATTTATTCTATATATACAAGGTATAACATATGTCATATTTTTTTATCAATAAACCGTTTATCACATATATAGTTAATATTTACATAATATACACATACATATTGTATGTTTATTCAAATACACAATAATCTTAGGAAAAATTTTAAATATACAATAAAATAAATTGTAACTAAATTTTTTAACAAATTATATTATAAAACAAAAATCCGCGTATCGCACGGACACTCATCTAGTATTATCTAATAAAGATTATAAAATATTCCATATACAAATTATTTTAAATCCAAACTAACGTGGAGAATGTAAGAAGTTTTCAAACATTATCTTATCTCATTAAAAACAAAGAAAATAACTGATACGCAGATCATAATTTTTTTTAAGTTTTAACTAACAAAATTTAAGAGTTTTGTTTTCGATGGAAACAATTAAAATTAACAAAACTTGCTAAAGGATTATATATACAAGTTTAGTTTGGGGCTACTGAGCCAAATGGGCTGGGCTAAGTCCAATAAACTCACCGATCTCTGTTCTTCTCGGGACTTGCAAAGTTCAAAAGTCTTGGCACTTTCATCGTTTCGTACGTTTCTAGAACTGAGTCAAAGATTCGAGAATGCCTTCGCAATGCTCTGATTTCTGTTTGATGGCGAGTCCTCGATAGGAGAGTGGAAGCGAAGACGAAACCAAATGATGGTGCGAGATATGAACTATCGAAGGTTTGATCTATGATTCATTTCTCTGCATCCGATCCATCCATTAATTTCGTCACGTCTTTTCACTGCAATGTTTAACATCTCTCACGCGATATTGATTCTGTTCTCTAAACCCAGTTAATCGATTTCGTCTGGAAATATTAGTTTTTTCCATCACCGTCACTCTTCAGGTTTTTTCGAATTCCAGATTATTCCAAGTCATTGACCTGATTCAGATTTCGGATTATAGTTCTCCAGATTTTGATTTGACTGTCTTCAACTAGAATTCGAGGAAAAGCTGATATGATTAAGAACCTATGATTCTATTTTCCAGGGAGAATCGCGCCTGAAGATCGTCTATCTTCGATGGCCTAGATGGACTTAAGGAAGGTCGCTTGAGATATGAATCTTGAGGTATGATCTAATAATGCCTTTATGTTTTCAATATTGATGTAATTAGTCTCTTCCTCCTCTGTGTTATATACATTGCAATAAACTCTTGTCCTAAGTTAGTGACTGTAGACATAAACATGAAGAAGTTGAGAGTCATAATCGCTTGCTTGACAAATTGGTAGGCTCTGAAGTTTGATTTCATTTGTTTCAGTTTGTGGGTCTCTGTCACATTATTTTGTTCTAAACCTATTCGTTGCTGTATGTCTAGGGGAACAAAATGGACTCGGCGAGAGGGATAATGTCAGGAACTATCAACGGTTTCAAGTTGGTATGTAAAATAGATTGTGTACTGTTGGTATCAAGAGGGGAGAGTGGTCCTGTAGGGTAGTAACATAGTGGAAAAGTTTCAGCCAAAAAGACCAATTTGGATTCAACCGAATGTAGAATTGTAACATTGTGTGAAAGCATATGGTGCTAGACTTTTCATCTACTGTCTCTGGAGCAGCAATGTAGTCTGAGAGAAATGTTTTTGCTCTCCTAGATCTCATCGAAAAGGATGCCCTGGATCTTCCTATCTGATTTCAGACAGAGGGTGCCGGATCTATGTCAATAAGCCTCAAACAAAGAGTAGGAGTGGTGAAAAACTGAACAACGTTTGTCAGCATGTTATCATGATCAAAGCAGATCAACGCGCCCTCCGCGCCGTTAAACCTGTTCTTGTCTGGATGAAGACAGAGAGCCAACTTCTTGTAGTGTTTCTTCACGGTTTCATCATCGGCTGAAGGATCTACACCGAGGATTCCATACCAATCAGATTCGACTCCTCCGATGTAAACATCGATCATCGTCGAGACTTGTTTCAAACCATCGAGATCTGGGTACAGATTCTGAGCCTTGTTCACGAATCTTTTCGCCCCGTTGTAATCCTTCTCCGACAGTTTCCTCTCTGCAATATCCAACGCTCTTCTACCTTCTTCCTTATTACATTCCATGGTGTTTATTTCTCTCTGGGGAAACAATCGAGAAGCAAAAAGAGAACGAAACTACGATTTTTGTTCAGATGACCTAGGCAACGAGAGCAGCGGCAAAAACGAAATCAGAGAGGAAGGATAATGGTACGACTTACAAGTAACCGTTAGGTTAATATAGACGATTTTCCTTCTTTTTTTTTGTTTTTGCGAAAAAGGAAATTTGACTGATTTTCCTTTTTTTTTTTGTTTTTGCGAAAAAGGAAATTTGATTATATACTTTCACGAAAAAGGAATATCCATTTATTTCCTTTTTGCTTCTAATACTGATGGGCTTTTCTCCGGCCCGTTTTAATAACGCTAATTGACCCAGATGGGCTAGGCTAAGCCCGATAAACTCACCCTTTCTCTGTTCTTCTCGGGACTAGCCAACAGTCTGGCACTTTCGTGCGTTCTCAGCAAAAACAAACCCATGAAATCTCGTACGTTTCCGGAACTGATTCGAGAATCTCTTTACTCTAATTTCTCTTTGATGGCGAGTCCTCGACAGGAGAGTGGAGGCGAAGACGAAACAAATGATGTTGCGAGATATGAACTATCGAAGGTTTGATCTATGGTTCTTCTCTCTCTATGCATCCGATCCATCCATTAATTTCGTCACGTCTTTTCACTGCGATGTTTAACATCTCTCACGCGATATTGATGATTTGATTCTGTTCTATAAACCCTATTCGATCGAATTTCATACGCATCTGTTCGCAATGTTCAGATTCCTTCTTTCTGTAATTTCAAGTTTTTTTTTTTTTTTTTTTTGCATCACCGATACTCACACTCTTCTGGGTTTTTCGATTTCCCAATTATTCTAAGTCATTGACCTGATTCAGAGTGCTGATTATAGTTTTACAGATTTTGATTTGAGTGTCTCCAATTAGAATTTGAGAAAAAAAGGATCCGTTTAAGAACCTATGATATTATTTTTCAGGGAGAATCGTGGCTCAAGATCGTCTCTATTCGATGGCCTTGATGGACTTGAGGAAGGTCGCTTGAGAGCTTCCTCTTCGTATTCTCATGATATCACCGAACGCGACAATGATGAAGTCCTGGAAAATGGATCTGCAGGACAGAGTTTCATTTCTGAAGAGAGTATGTCCTGTCATCTCTAGAACTTAGAGTTAAAGATTCATTACTACTAGCATAAACATTACGATTTAGAAATTGGCTTGTGGTGTTACATGGGACACTGATCTGAATTGTTTGAGAAAGGATTTCTTGAATTGACGTTTATATTAAGAACAAGCTCTGAAGTATTGATTGCTAACTGAATCGTGAGGTATGATCTAATGCCTTTATGTTTTCAACTTTGATGTATTTAGTCTCTTCCTCTGTGTTATATACATTGCAATAAACCCTTGTCGTAAGTTAGTAATGATATCTTTTTCAGGTGACCGGAGACATACATGAAGAAGTTGAGAATCATAACCGCTTGCTTGACGAAGTGGTAAGCTCTAAAGTTTAAATTCATATGTTTCAGTTTTGTAAGATCTCTATCACATGATTTTCTTCTAAACCTATTTGTTGTTGTATGTCTAGGGGAACAAAATGGACTCGGCGAGAGGGATATTGTCAGGAACTATCAACCGTTTCAATGTTGGTATGTAGTATGCTAGTGTTCATTATCCTTAAACCTTTTTATGCATCTATCACACTTTTATCTGAATAAAAATCGATTTTAACATGACAGGTCTTTGAGAAGAAGTCTAATCGAAAAAGTTGCATATTTTGTGCTCTTCTTCTTGATCATGTATTAACCTTATTAGGTAAAGTCTACTTCTTGATATAGTAGTAATACATTCAAGACCAGAGGTATGCTAATGGCACGACAATTATTTGGATTTTGCAGGCTATTAAACTACATCAAAGGGTGATTTTTTGGATACAAGAAGAAATAGTTTGTTACATCAATACTCGTTTCGTTTTGGGAATCTGAAACAAATAACTTTCATTTTTGGGTTTCTCCTGATGAATGAATGATTCAGACACATTGAACTAGTCAAGGGACCCATATTGAAACAAGACAAAGAAAGAGATTGTGAAGGGACTGGTGAACCGAATGAAAAAAAAAATGGTAGGTAGAGACACTTCTTTTGTCCGAAGCACAATCATCTCATGTCATTTCATGTAATGTAGTAAAAAGCTTCTTTATGATTTGTCATTTATCAACTATTTGTTCACAAACAAACAAGGTATTGGATCGTGTTTAACAATTTTGTCTACGAAAAGCTTAATTGATTGATAAGCTTTATTATTAGGTTATTGTGAAAAAGTTTAGCACTTGTGCAGACAATAAAAAAGAGAGAGAGACAAGTAGTCTGAGAGACAGACCAATTTTCAAAGTTTACAGATGCAAATGCCGTCGTGCATTTGCTAACATTTGCTAAACATCCTCTATTACATAATTGTAGGCGTTTATGCTGACATTTGCTAAACATCCTCTATTACATAATTGTCGTTCAAAAAGAGTAATTTTTTAATTTGAGTAAAATCACAAGTTGACAGAACATTACAAACGAATTTGATTTTTTCCACTTTAGGTAACAAGTTGGCATAAAAACTGACAAGTTTACATGTACATTTCCCAATGGTTCGATTTTTTAGTAAATACTTCAGAGTTTTCGTCTGAAATGCCCCTAAATCTAAAACTAAAATCTGATAAGAATTTTTTATAAAATTATTTTTAGTTATTTTCTAAACAAAAAATAATGTAAATTACATAAAACTCTAACCAATTAACGAAAATTATTTCTTGTATCTGGATTTTATCTATCCACCTAATTCATACAGATCTAACCCAAAAAATCTGGAAAAAAACTGAATATTTAGTCCTAAATCAATTGATCGCCTAATTTTGAAATTAAACGATTCTTCTCTAACTCCTTTTTCATTCATCTCTCTTTGTGAAACAAAAGATCATTCCATTTTCGTTTTCAGTCGCTGGCTAAAATAAATTGGACAAGAAAGAAGAAGAAGATTGCTCGAGATGAAGAAAGGGATTTAGATCTGGCTACGATTATTGAGAATGTTGGAACAAATGAAGAGGTTCAAGAAGAAGTATAGAGAGATGCATCTGTCGTTCCGATTGGTGAGGAAGGTGAACCGAATGAAAAAGAAGAAGAAGAAGAAAATTCTGACTAGGACTAGAATAAGAATGAAGAAGAACAAAAAGAAGAGAAGAATGAAGAAGAAGACGAAGGAAAAGAGTTTTGTGATTTGTTTTGTTCTTGATGTCAATTGTGGGAAAAAAAATTATCGAGGTTTAATTTGTGAATTCTAGTTGAGTTCGATTTAGAATTTGTAGATTTTTTAGTGATACTAGTAGAACTAGATAAAACTAATTGATTCTTACATGTAATATTGGTAGAACTAGATAGAACTAGTCAGATCTTATATGGATTACTGGTAGAACTGGTAAAACTAGTAGAATCTTATATGTAATACTGGTAAAACTAGTCGAATCTTATATGTAATACTTGTACAACTAGACAAAACTAGTCGGATTTTATATGTAGTACTAATATAACTTGGTAAAACTAAATGTTTGTTCAATGAGCAATTGACAGCACTACAACCTATAAAATATATATTGACAATATTGGTGTTCATTGTATCGTGGCAAAACTAGGCATAGGCATTCGGGTATTCGGATCGATTTCAGGCCGGATCCGATCGGTTCTTGTTCATTGGGGTAAGAGAATTTGATACCCATATAGGTACCAAAAAGATTTCGATTCGGGTTTGATTTGGTTCCTACCGGTTCAGGATCAGTTCAGTTCTTAAATCTCAGAACTGTTTAAAACCCCAAAAAAAACAGTTTTCTTATAATTTCTGTTCGGTTTGGGTTTTTTTTATATCCGATTAGATCCAAAATCATTAAAAATGTAATCATATTCCCGAAATGTAACCAAATTCCCGAATAAAATTAAAATTTTCTGAAAATACTGAATCTTTTCATCCACTTGTAAACTGATTTTCGGATTAAATATATCTCGAAATCGATAACAGAAAGAAGTCTTGAATAGCTGACTGCGAGACCTATGAAACGGTATGTAGATCGACCTTCGGGTCGAAATGGTTCATCAGATATCGCTCTGCCAAACTTTAAATATAAGTGGTTTTAATTTTGGTTAACCGATCGGATATCGGGTATCAGCCGGAACTGACTCAATACCCACAGTTCCTAAACTTAATACCTATTGGGTAAATTGGTAGTAACCGAACCTGATCCGAACCGATTATTTTGGGTTGGTTCTAGTTCAGGTTTTCGAGTCCGGGTTTTTTGCCCAGGCCTAGGCAAAACATTACAAAAAAACGCATTCAGTAATATTAGTTAGCTACAAATATAAGTTCTCTTTACTCAGTACTACCAATTGGACCAAATTTTACTTAATAAAATCATGATTTTCAGTAATATCAGTTTTACGAGCTATACTACATTTATCGGTAGTACTTGTTATTTTTTCTGTTAAAATTAAATTGATAGATAAATCTGTTTATACACACTTAATGGAATATAATAAATTAATATGAAATATAGTACAATTGTTTTAGAGAAAAAGGAACATTTCAGATTATGTCTCAATTCTTGAACACATCCTACGAACTACATGTGTATAAAACAATGCATGCAGGTATAAGTTATAGTCTATTAACAAACCGGTTTTTTTTTGTACTCCAGATCTATTCATTTGTATATTCTCTTCTTCTTTTTTCACTCTATTAATAAAAAGACTGTGTTTACATATAAGATGGCTACCAAACAGTCGAGGGTTAGAGCTATGATACTTTCGTACGTGTTGGGTCATTACTCTTTACATACAAAACTTCAACCTGTTTTAGAAATCTTTGTAAATTTTGAATGTGTGGATTGTGTCATCGTTAGAAAAACTTTCATAATATCAATGTTCAACATTGTATTGGAGCTTTAGTATTTTTTATCTTGAAAACATTTTCAAATTTGTTACATCCTGATACAATATCAAAAAATCAGTAAATTAAGGGTCTTCAATATATGAATTATTATTAGAATCTAGTTTTCATAATTTTATAAAGTCAAATGATTCTTATTTAAGTTTAAAGCAAGATTGGTGACAAGAAGATTATTTGATTTAGCTTTTTTTTTTAAATATAAATAATTTAATTTAAATGTAATTTATTGTAAAAAAAATTGTAAGAGCTATAAAAAGCTCATCTATTCTCACCTGTGAAATATATAGAAACTTTTAGAAATTAAAAAGAAAATTTTCTCTAAAGCTTTGAATTTGTTTTGTTTATCTAAGTAAGATAAAAAATTTCACTTAGTGAACATTTGAATCTATGTCTCTTGTGTTTAATTCCTTGAGACTAGGTTTGTGAATTCATCACAGGAGCTTTCACACCCTTGAGTGACATTCTTCGATCCATCTTTCTTCCATTCCATCCACAGATCCAACCCGAAGAGACCTAAATCCATCAGGTTTGATCCCACAAACTCCCCACTTTGATCATCCTTTGAACAAGTAGAAAGAGTCTTGAGACCAGCTATTTATTTCCACCGATTCACACACCATTTATAAGATCTTCCCCTTGATCTTATATCACATCCAATAGTTTTTATCAAAGATAAATGAATACTAATAACACATATTTTGAGACTTGGGCTGGACCGGCTAGTCAAAACAATAAACCCGTTTCCCAGTCAGTTATTTGATCTCAACACATAACAAACCAATTTATCAGACTTCAGCACATATAAAAAAGTTTTGCCAATATTAACATAGATACAAAAAATTTTGTATTCAAAAATCATATAATATATAAAAGTTGATGGCATAGTGCATTGAAGGCGTCCACATGGGACTAAAAAACTCGATCTGATTGGTCCACATCAGCATATTCATTAAATAAAAAAATGTTAAGTATGATTATGATAGAAAAACTTGATTTAATTGGTCCACATCAGCTTTTAAATAAAACAAAAAATTATTAAGTATAATTAAAATATTAAAAGTTAATTTAACAAATTATGTCCAAAAAAAGTAAATTCAATCTGATTGATCCAAATGAACTTTGTTAAATCAGAAAATGTTAATATGGTTTAAAAATTTAAAAGTTAAATAAAAAATTAATAATTAACAATACATATATATAAAAAACAAACATGATCAATTATCAATTTAAAAAATCTACAACAACTTGATTTAACAATTAAAACAACAAAAACTAAATAAAAATATAACATAAAACTCTTGGAAGACATGATGGAGAAGAAAAAAATAGTTTTGCATGATCATTATAGCTTCTTAACAAAATTAAATGCGAATCAATATGAATTATGAATTATATATACAGTGGTACACAACATCAATAAGACTTTCAATAAAAAAACTAAATATTTGAACACTAAATCTTCAAGAAAAAAAAGAATTATAGAAATTCTATGAAAAACAGAAAATAATACCAAAATGTTAGCAAGATTATATTTCTCTTAATCAAATGCATATGTACGTCAAAGTTAGATTATTCGATAGGTATCATTGTTATTATTTTATCTAATAGTATTTTAATATTTATAAATAAAAATAGGATAAATTACACATTATATTTTAAATTATCTTATATAAATGAATTTTTTTATAAATTTATATATAATTTTTAATAATTTTAAAGATAGTAGCTAAAAAAATAAACAAAAAGATTAATAAAGACTCGCGCGTAGCGCGAATTATATATCTAGTTATATAAAAAAGTTAAAGAAATAAAAGTATTTTTTGTTTTATTTTGTTTTTATTTCTTGTAATTAATCTATTTTTAAAAAAAATGTTAAAAATCTTATATTTTACATTATATAAATTACCAATGTTCTTCCTTATTATCTATTTCTAGGGTTTTACAAACAAAACAATGATAATGAAGAGAAGACTTAGAGTGAATAGTCACATAACCTCACCATAACCTGCATGACTTTGTCACACTGTAAGCTTCACCAGATATATCAATATCTCTTTCGATTTAATGGTGAAAATGTTATAAAAAAAATCTTCCACCAAAATCTCTAAATAAGATTTCAATTCGTCTCGAAGCTATGTTTATCAATAATCAGCATGAGAGAGAAGAGACTTCATAAATCAATTGTGGCTTGGTCTTCGATTCAACTTCCTGGTGATATAGTAATTGGCAATTAAGGAGTAAATACATGTGGAGGGTGAATATTGCCAGAGAATGATCAAGGGCTGGGATTAAAAGAAAGTTTGAGTGCAAGCATTAAAAAGAGGCTGTTGATAAATTACCAAATTAGT